AGGCCGGGCGCGCCCCCGCGCCGCGGGCGGACGGCGCCCCCTCCCCCGCCGCGCTCCCCTCCCCCGCGCCCGCCCCCAGCCCCGGGCGGCGGGGCAAGTGCGGGCCCCGGGCGCCGCCCGCCCGACCCGAGGCGGCGCAGCGGTGCGGCAGCGGCCGCCGCGGCCGGTGTGATTGATAGGGACGGCGGCGGCGAGAGCGGCGGCGGCGGCGGCGGAGCGGTTGAGTGACAGCTTACCTGGGTGCCAATCTTCATCACACTGACAAGCGGCTGCAGCAATCGGGACCCGCAGTGCCGCGCCCGCGTCCAACCGTCACGCCGACGCCGGGCCACGCGACACAGCCTCGCTCAATGGGAGGAGGGCGACGCCGACGCGCGCCGCATCAATATTCACCGCGGGGGCGGGGCCTGCTGGCGACGGGCCCCGCCCCCGCCCTGCGCGGCGGCGGGCGCGGGGTGGGGCCTGCGCGGGGGCGGAGCGGACCCCGGCCCCGCCCCTCGCGTCCGCAGCCGGGCCCCGCCCCGGCCGGTCGCGTAGGGGCGCGAGGAGTGGCCTGCCCCGCCCCGGAGGCCGAGCTTCCCACCTCATGACTATTCAGCGAGGCGTGGCCACGTCCCTCTGCGCGCTCCGCGGCGGCCGGGGAGAAGCGCGCGGAACCGGTCGGAACCATCTGTGGTCTAGGCAGGGGATGAGGAATGTACCATCTGAGGCCCCGGCCGCGCAGGGCGTCAGGCGCAGACTATCCGCGCGCGGTTAGACGCTCTTTGGGTGCAGACTCCCGCCCTTCCCGCCGCCTTGTTGCCGGAGTTCTGCCGCCCAGGTGGGTGCGGGCTAGGGCAGTGCCGGGGATGCAAATGTGCACAACAATCTTCGGCGGCGGGTGTGCCCCAAGCCCGGGTCTCTGCCCATGGACCTAATCCCGTGCGCCCTCTCTCCCCTTGGTATGAGGACTCCACACCAAGGCGCGCCCCAAGCGTGAAGTTCACTTGTGACTGTGGGCTGCCTTTTAGTCCGCCTGGTCCCCCTGGAGTGCACCCTCCTGCCCAGGTGACCCCAGCTCCAGGAAATGTCAGCCTAAGGAGGGTTGGACATTGTCTCCATTTCATGCTGCACTTAAGAAAATCGTCCTAATCAGATCATCTGTCGCAGTATACCCACGAGTCCCACCCGTGGTTTCACTCAAAGATGTAGGAACATCGCTCAAGGAAACGCGTGGTTGGTCTGACAGGTCACACGCAGTTGCTGACATTCACTTATGCAGTGGCTTACCCCGTGAGGTCAGGGCTCTGAGTCCACACACAGCTTGAAGGAGGGCAGCTTTGCTGACCCCAAGCTCCCCCAGGAGGAAACCAGACCTAGGGCCAGAACTCAGGGCTGGAGGGTAGTTGGGGTGGAAAGGCTTCCAGCAGGCACTAGGGGGAGGCCAGTGTATTTTTGCCTTGGCAGAATTACAAGGGGACAGTAATGAAGACCACTACAAAATTTGCAGGGCCTAGTGCAGAATGGAAGTGTAAGATCTTAAAAATTATCAAGAATTTCCTGGGCAACACCAGCAGAAAGTGAACCAAGACTGGGTCTTCTAAGCAGGCCCTGAAATTGATACTGGTTCACACCCATGAAGGGCCCCCGGCCTTCCTACCCTCACCTAGACTGGGCCTCTGTCTGAAGCTTTCATTTGGTCCCATCCAGTCTGAGAGGCAACAGGAGTCACCTGGCACCCCCTAGTACAAGCTGCTGTCCCAAAGTCCAGAAGCAGCTGAGAGGCCTGCCCACCTTCCAACCCGTCTCAGCAGCTGAGCCTTCTTTGTCTGTCCCACTGTTCCTTTCCTGCTGGGATCTGCCACCAATTCATCTCCATCTCTTATCACCTCCAAAGAGGGCCCACACATCAGGGGCCTTGAGACTCATACATTAGGAGACCTTCCTTAAGGAAAAGAATCTGAATTTATGTATGTTTCCCAAAGATTTGTTACTATTTTCCGAAAGATATTGTTTAGGTATATAAAATTAAAAGTCACATATACAGTTATTCTTTATAGAAACACAACACTGGGTCACTTGTACTGCCAGGGACACTGGGTAAAACTTGTAATGTTAAAAGAACACTGGAATTTAAATATGCAATCTGCTTTTCTCTTTTTCACTTGGACATGAACTTATTTAGAAAACCAACACCCTTACTCATTGCTTTCCTTAAAATTCATCTATCATTCTCATTAATAGGGCATTTTAATCCTTGGAGTGTTGATGGCTGCAGCATATATAAACCCCATTGGGGAAACAGGGAAGGGGAGGGCCAGATGGTCACAGGCACTGAGCATGGACTGTGCTCCTTGGAGCAGCAAGGAAAAGGTATGGTAGCTGCAGGGCAGGCTGGTGGAGCAGCACTTGGTGGAAAGCCACAGGAATGGCAGAACTCTGCCAAAACAGAGAAGCTGAGAAGCCAGAAGGAGAGAGCTCCTGGGCACACACCAGCAGGGGACCTAACAGAAAGGTAGGATGTAGGCCCTGCCCAGCACATCTTCCTGCCTAGGGCACAAAGCCAGATGGATGCAGCCCACCCTGCTGGGATCTGAGAATACAGCCAAAGGAGGTGGGAGAAGGCAGGGCTTTGGGTGTCCTCAAAGGATGTCTAGGATTCTGGAAAGTCTTCATCAACAAACTATCTCAGAACAGGGCAGGTATCTTGCTTATTAAGGTGCCCAGTTTGGCTGATTTATAAATTCTCCAATTTGCAAGAGTGGGCAGGAGGTGAAGTGACCAGCATTTAGTGGTTAGAGCATGCCACTCCTTCAAGGGTAAAAGCAAAGTTCTTGCAGTGACCCCTGAGGACGTGCAAGATCTTCCCTCTGCCCCTGTACCTCTGACCTGCACTCCACCCACCCTGCCCTTCATCTGCTCTAGTCAGGGCCTCTGGCTTCTCCTCTGTCACTCCAGGGGTGAGTCAGTCTCAGGGCCTTTGTATGAAGTGTTCCTCTGCATGAAGTGCTCCTCCCCAATGTATCTGCATGGCCATCTCCCTCTTGCAGTCTTTGCTCCAATCACTCTCCCAGGAGAGGCTTAAAATAGCAGACTCCCACCCAGCCCACTCCCCACCTTCCTCACACTGCCTTCCTGTGTTGTGTAGGCACTTCTAACACACTTTGTAACCATTGAACAATAGCATGTGCTATGTTAAGTAGCACTGGTGATATTGAGCCCTAATCCCCAATGTGCAGCTGCCGCGTCCGGCTAACAGAGCCGAGTCCGGCGAGGGACGGCGGGGTTAAAAATACACAGGACACCAAGGTTCTTCATCCAGGAGGGAGCATGTGCGCGCTTTATTGCCAAATCTGTTCCCCTTATATATCTTTTTAACAGCTGCGGGAAATTACTCAAAAGTGAGGAGGGAAGAGTAATAACTGCGTCCTTGGGTTACCGTCACGTCACCGTACCCTATCAGGAGGCTCGAACAGGTCAAGATGTTCCCGAGAGACACATGTGCTCCAGGCAGATAAACAGGGAACCGCAAGCCCGCATCACGGCCTTGTGAGCTGGCCACATTGACATGCATAACAAAGAACTGGGGGTTGAGTCCCCAGGGGCCAGGGAGGGCCTGCTACCAGCAAGTCCCCCTTTTTTGTTTTTTGCATGTCAATGGGAATCAAGTAGCCCCTGTCTTAGGTCGTCCACCGCCCCTGCACTGCTTACCCGTCTCTGGGGAGGCCCCATTCCCCTGGCTTAGGTTGCAGTGCAAGCGTGGAAGTTGCCCGTCACTGGGTACTACAAGATCAGCTCTTGTCCTACGTAAACGGACACTTTTCAGTTAGGATGTCATGGCCAGCAGGACACAACTGCGGATCCCAGTCATCATCTTTGCCAGTAGGATAGCTATGACCAGGGAGCTTTCTGAACGTAAGGGTCTGGGATGACGGCACCAAGTCGGCAGGGTAATTAGGGACCTGGGCAAAAGCAGGCATACATAGGAGGGCTCGGGTATTGGCTCCTGTCCAGTTACATCTCATCTCTGGATGGGTCGTAAGTACACCTCGTGGGCGGAGTCGTCCATCTCCAGGCGTTGGTAGTGAACCTGTATTGGCTGTCCAGAAGGAATGCCACAAGAGGTGTCCAGCTCATGAGGTATGTCTCGGCACTCACTTGAAGGGGTGAGAACAACAGCGGCAGGATCAGCCATCTTGGGAACTTCATTTTGTCTTGAATTTTCATTCACCGGTCTGGTGCAGCGCTCCGGGATCCAAATGGGTTTTTCCGTCCCTGGAGGGAAGACACATACAGCTCCTCTCACTCTAGCCAAGAGTGGAGCAGGGGGTTGCCACTTCCCTGTAGCCAGATCCTTTCATCTTATCTGTGCTTTTTGTATGGTGGGAGGGGAAAAGTGACGCTGCGCCGCTGTACGGCCTTCGGCGTCAGTGAGCAAAAAATTTAAAGTGAATAGAGTTATGTTTAATAGTGCATGTGGTCCCTGACAATTCTGGTATATCTCCCCCTCTTTTGTTTTTTGCAAATAGGTTTTAAGATGTTGATGGGCCCGTTCAACAATGGCCTGTCCTTGGGGGTTATATGGGATTCCTGTTTTGTGTATAATATCCCACTGTGAGCAAAATTTTTGGAAGGTTTGACTAATATAAGCTGGGCCATTATCTGTTTTTATACATCGAGGGGTTCCCATAAAGGAAAAGGTTTTAACATAGTGCTATATCACGTCCTTAGCCTTTTCTCCTGAATGTAAAGTAGCGGAGATAAAACCAGAGAACGTGTCTATACTGACATGCACAAAAGACAGTTTTCCAAAACTAGGAATATGAGTTACATCAGTTTGCCAGATGTCGTTTGGCTGAAGGCCCCTTGGGTTGACTCCCAGAGAAGGGGAATGGATAAAAGGTGCACAAGTAGGACATAGGGAGACAATTTTTAAAGCTTGATCCCGGGAACATCCTGAGCGGAAGCGCAAAGTTTGTGCGTTTAGGTGAAATTTATTATGAAGTTGTAGGGCCTTATCATACTCAGTTATTGTATATATAAAATTAGTGGCATGTGTGGCAGTGTCTGCCATGGCGTTGCCCACCGCCAGAGGACCTGGAAGTCCGGAATGACTTCTAATGTGACCTATGAAGAGGGGGTCTGCCCTAGCCCATATAAGAAGCTGCACTGTTTGTAGTTGATCCATGATAGTGGATTGTTTTCCAATATAAGGTGCCGTCTCAATCGCGGAGGCAAGCCTGGCGATATAGAGACTGTCTGTGAAAACATTAAGGGGCACCGAGCTATAGGTCTGTAAGGCCAATATTAAGGCTGCAACCTCCGCTTTTTGGGCCGAACAATCGGCCACTCTCTTGCGGATGACTTGGGTCCCATCTGAAACGACAGCAAACCCATTTTTGGCCCCGTCAGTGAAGACGGTTTGTGCCCCCGGGAGAGGATCCTTTTTTAGGATCTTTGGGAAAATTATTGGATATGTCTTTAGACTTTCAAGGAGCCTGCTTTTAGGGTAGTGATTGTCAACCTGTCCCATGAAACTACAGAAGAAAAGACACCGG